ATGAAAACTTAGGGTATATGTTTTTAATTACACTATATAACAAAATAAATTGAAAACACTTGGTCCAAAAAATTTAAAATAATCTTGAAGGTAGCCAATCCAACCACTAGCACGTAGTTATTATTATATAGTAATAGTTATAGTTTATTAAAATCGATGAAAACAATAACGCCATGACACAAAAAATTTAAATATAATACATGGGTATAGATAGATATAAGTATACATACATATTAGGTTGTCAAATATCTCCCTTCCGTCTTTTTATATTATAAACCAATAATATAATAATACAGTTTTAGAGAGTTTGACTGTTTCTTAAAGAACTATCCTAGTTAATTTTATAATCAATATTAAATGTAAAGATCTCAAAAAAGAAAACTTTAAGTGTATATAAATATCTAAATATGTATAATATATATATATATATATATATATATATATATATATATATATATATATATGTATATGTATATACCTGTTTATCTCATTATTTATTGATATCAAGTTTTGTTGAATCATTAACCGGCATGACAGCTGTTTTGGTAGAAGCAGGTTTATTAAGACAGACAAAACAAATCCAGATCTATTTAACTGTTAAGTGGTTATTTCTCATCAAACCAAAATTACTGATTAAAACAATATATATATATATATATATATATATATATATATATGTTTTGTTTTGGAGATGTGGTGGAAGAGGGTAATGTCCGAAAACACATTTGCATTTTAAGACTTCGGTTTTCATTCTTATTGCTCTATAATTTGAAATTTTGATTTATATAATGCATGTTCATTCATTATCATGGATTCATTCTTATCTTATTACTTGCTAATCGTAAGATAAAATCATTTCAAAATCTGACATATTTTGAACGTACTCAAAATTGCTAGACAACTCTAAATTTATTGAGTGTATTAACTATTTATTATAGATAAATAAGTTTAAACGAAAAAGGATAAAATTCTAAAATTTTTATTTTAAAATCATTCAACCATGTAACCTATAATTTTATGTAATCAATTAGTATAGTTTTATTTCTTAAATACTATAGAGTTTTGTATAAAAGATTAAATACAATGAAATGCATTTACTTTTAAAGTTGTGAATTTGAAGATTTAAAAAATTGTAGAATTGATCAAACATTGACCAAACTATTTCTAGTATTATTGTTATGACCAAAAATGTACAATAGTAAAGGCTACAATAATTTGCTGTTGAACCATTAAAAAATATTAAATTAGCTTTTATGCATTCTAAAACGCTTCGAAACTAATAGTCAAAGTAATATAATCTGCAAAAATACTTTGAAAAAAATATAAACATAAAATTAGACATAAAATATTTTGAACTTTGGAAATTTTAGTCTTATAGTCTATAAGTTATATATCTCAAGTACAATTCATATGTTGCATATAAAATCCTGAAAAAGTCAAAAAACACTATTTAAAGTAGAAGTCATTTGTTACCACTGGATAGGACAACTACTGGGTTGCCTCCGAAGAGCAAACAATTGAAAATAATAAAAAAAATAAATAAATAAATTTATTTATTGAATTACTCTTATTGTTAGATAATATATAGTTATACTAAAATTTATTTTATTTATATATCTGATAATAAATTAAATTTATTATTTAAAATTTAAGAAAATTGATTGATGGAGCATAAATAATTATAATAAACTCGACTCACTTTTTTGTAAATGATAGTGAATGAAAAATGGATTATGTGTATGTGATGCCGACAATTTTATTTTACTAGAAGAAAGCCTGGAAAGCAACTAGTTCCGAAAATTCGAAAATATATTCACTTTTAAAAAACTATTTGTTTTTTTAACAAAATTTCAATAAAAAAGGTAAGTCATTAAATGAAAATAAAAAAAAATAGTTTTGTATGAAATCGCGCCTTAAGGCAAATTGCTGGAACAACCCCGTACCGTATTAAAATGTACTAAGATTATTAATTGTTTTCAAGTATATTCCAATAAAAATCGTAACTTTTATTATTAGTATTTTATCGACAAAATATAAGAGCTTATAAATGTGATGATGACGTTTATATAAGTTTACATGAAAAGTAAATGAACCGAACACAATGAAGGGCAGTTAAAATGAAGAATCTTGACTCTGAATTATATAAACTATATCGCAAAATTATAATTATTTATTTTAAGTATGAAAGTAAGTTGTATAATTTTAGTAAAAATTAAAATTAAAATTTGTGTTATTTGCGATATATTGAAAAAATAAATTAAAATTTAAAATTGGAATTTAAAAAAAATGTTTTCACCAAAACAATCGTTTCGTCATTACAAAGCGAAGGCTTTTTGAATCATTCAAATCGGATCGGTTCTCTCAAAAACTGCATTTTTTGCACATTTAGCTTCGTATCTCCGACACGGCTCGACCTGTCTTTACCAAAAACTATTCACTACTTCTCATCATCACGATTTGAATGTTTTTTGAATTTGACTTAAAATTTGATGATCCGTAATTTCTATTTTCTACACTCTTTGCTCTGTATCTCCGTAACGGCTTGACCTGCTTTTGCCAAAAACAAATCAGCATTTCCTTATCTATAAAAATAGAATGTTTTTTAATCATTCACATCGGTTGATCCGTGCGCCTGAAATAGTCGATAAAAAATTCAGACACATATCATTTTTTTCTAAGGTATGCCAAAATGTTCTGAAACCTTTAAAACGTAAAGATATATAAAAAACTCTCTACGGGAAGTTAATAAAAAAATGATTAATTGAAATATATTAACGTGCTTAAATTACAAACAAAATTACTTAAATAAAGTTAAAATAATTATATAACTAATTAGATCTAAACGGTATAATACAATTTGAAGATTTATTCTTTTGTATGTAAGGAAATTTTGCAAATAGCTTATTAAACCTTCGGAAATAATTAGTTACAAATGTATATGTTGGAGACATTTTTATAAATACGGAAAGTTCTTAAGTTATCACATTTATATTTGCTATTTATTTAATACACTCAAGTTGTCTTAAGTTATTCTTTTGTGTTGCGATGATTTTGCTGTCACTGACCGCATTGAGTCCTTGAAATGTAGGTTTTCTATTTCTTTTTAATGAAACTTAGGAAATTGTGATTATTATCAATTATTTAGAAATAATTTGAACAAAAACAATATTTTGATCTGTGCCACTGCCTTTTTGCATTTAGAGAACGCTATATGTATGATTGGAACAAAAAAAAACACACTTTTGTACCGTAGTGGCAGGCATATATCTTATAATTTGTTTCTGTATTCGAAAAAATGAGGCATTTATATGTGTATATGTATTTAAATCTAAATTGGTCACTTAACAATGGTTTATATCTTAATTCATCATCAAAATAATAAATTATTAGTATAATTGAGATACATTTATACCTGGTAATATAATTGTAACATTAACTCATGAAACAAGCCCGACAAGAAATTATCAAACTATGTTGCAAAAAATGTAAAAAATCTGAATCTTTAAAGAAAACGGAAATTTGTTCATTCGTATGGACATGTAGGTAATTAATAGAGAATTAATTAATATATCAGTAAAATATTGAATTAGATTAAAAATATACTCTGAAATCTAATTTAAAACTTTGATGAATTGTAAATATATTGTATATATATATATATATATATATATATATATATATATATACTTATATAGATTACATCATGTATTTAATATTTTTGAAGAAAGGAATGTCGTACGATTGTCTTATTTATTTGTGAGATATTATTTGCATTCAGGTGCCAAAAATATTTGCAAACCGTCAATAATTACTGATTGAAATTTCGTCAAGCTTTTTAAAACTTCTACGAAAAATATAAATGTTAATGCTAATTTGCTCATTAATGTGCAGAATTGATTAGAAACAAAATAATGATGTACGTATTAACACAAATTATTAGATATATAAATAATATAATAATTTATTACAGTAATAGCAATTACAGATTGCAATTTCATTATATTACTCACAATCGGTCTATGAAAAAAATGTGTACTGAATAAATTAAATTTTACATATTTAATTAAATTCTACATAAGAACCTATAATAATTTCAAAATAAATATCAAGCAAACGAATGTCCACATATTTTTTCGTTTACTTGATTTGAATATTCAAATTTAATAAATTATTATCAATAATCATAAAATAAATTGAAAACGAGTAATTATATGATAACAAAAATTGTTTATTTATAGATCTGATATTTCAAAAATAATAACTTCCCAATTAACCAAATGCATTCAGTAGAAAAAAACTTGCATGTATAATAGGAATTAATTTATATGGTTTTATTATTATTGTTACTGTGATAATTTTTTATATTAAACATAATATCTATATTAAAATTGTTTCTTTATCGAATAATCAAAATGTTATTTTAAAATTGCGCCTGATTAAGAGAGACGAAACTTGCATATTAAATATTTTAGTAGATTTGAAGATAGTTCTATTTCAAAACATTCTAAATTGTACTTTTTTAATTTTGTGTAATTTATATAATAAACATTTCCACTATTTTTAACCCTATTTTGCAAATTTATTTAATCTTAATTAAGTGCACAAAATCTAATCATTAAGCCACAACAAAAACAGTTTGAGTAGAGCTTTTCACAAATAATTTAAGTAAACAACGATATTTATTTGGATTTATAAATAATATGTCATAACACAAGTTAAACACATAATCAGTTAATGTTTAAATTAAAAGACTATATTATGATTGTGAATAAAATTCCTCATCTTTATTATTTTTAGTATTTTTATTAAAGAAATATTAAAATATTGTTGAGATGCTGTCACCTTTCTTTACATAAGCCTTAAACCTTGAAATTCGATTAATTCTTATACTAAACTGAACCGTCGCCATATTCATATATATTACCTGCCACACCCTAAAAATAAATTCATATTAAATTTGGCATAATTTTTTTGATAATAAATTTCTCATTTTGACATACTTCTCTTAGTAGGTTCCCAACCCACAAATTCGCCATTCTTCTGATTTTCTATAACTAACCAATCATATAGAGGTTGAAAATATTCCAATATTCCACTTGCTTGCATTTTTGTTTCTCCAGTGAGTTCTTTCAATGCATATACCCAAGGTTTGGATCGACCAAGTTTCAACATATTTCTGAAATATGTATTGAACCAGAATATTTTAAGACTGCAAAACATGTTTTCTAGCAAAAGCTTCACCGACTTAAGGGGGATTGATTTTTTTAAGCCTCTAAAGCAGACTCCCCCCTTAAGTAAAAATCCAATCTGGATCTGGAGAAGCTGGTGTGAAAAGTATAGCTCGTCCAAATGATTCTAAGAATCGGTTTACAATTTATCTTGGTTTTGTTAAAAGTTGAATTTTTAACATGATTTACAGTAAGGTCACTTGTAGAAAATATATAAATATGTCAGTGCCAGAACTGGTTAGCAAAATTGTCGTACTTGGGACTTCTTATTCTGAACCCATTGCTCTAATCACTTACCTATGGATGAGTCCTTAACAGAAACCTATTTAAAAGCTTCTAAAAAAGTCTGTATTAGAAACTTACCCCAAAGCATTTCCTGCTTTAACATGTTGGTAGATGTCGCAATCCATAAGTCTCTTGGTGTCGTCTCCTGGAACGTATTCACCAGCTATTTCACAAAGTGCACGTTGGAATTGGAATTGAATTATGTAACTTACACAGTATCTAAAAATATTTAAATAGTACATAAATTAATGAAAAAGTAGAATATCTAATTAGCAACAGTATGATTTTTGTCTATACTAGAACAAATCTATCTCACTGGAGAAGACTTCTAAATGATAAAACTTCTGATCACATAGGCTCAAAGAAATATTATATTTCTAATTATTATGTGTATTATAAAGTAATGGAATTAGGTATATATTTCGAAAAGTACCTACATGTGCTCACGTAATTTTTTTTATATTTCAAATAAATTAATAGTCTTTTATAATTACCTGTAATATTCCACATCTGCTGAAATGTGATACTTTGCTCCGACATCAAAATCATTTTCTGTTCTGTCTACTGGTGGTTCCAAACCTTGGATTTGTTCCCTAAGTTTCCAATATTTGCAATTGTAATGATTTGATGTAGTTTTATTGCGAAAAATACTCAGACGGTATCTGTCTATTAGATAAGTATAAAATACTGATGGCAATTTATCTAAAGCCTGCGGAAAGAGATTTATTTGATGTTATTCTTAATATTATATTCAATTTTGGATATTCTCAAAATATTTTAAATGAAATAATTGGATTCTTTTAGGTGAATTGTTAAAAATCGTTAAAAACTCTTCAGTGCGTCCTTAAGATTAATAGTTTTTTGTAAAAAAAAGTCTGGCTTTTTAAACACTAAATCAAACTTTCTATTCAATCAAATAATTTTGTTTTATTTAATTTCAATCAATTTTTCAAACTTTTAAATTTCAAATGTTTAAATTGTATTAAATAATTCTTTTTATCATTTTTCTCAAATTCTTGAAATGTTTTCAAACATTGCTAAATTTTTGAATTCTAAAAAAATTAAATATTATGATCCTTTCAATTCACCTTTTTTCATATTTTTCTAAAATTGTTGTTGTGTCATGATCTACAAATAAAGTATAAATATTTCAGAATTTGGATAACACATTACTATAGTTGGGAAAACTTTAGACAATCTTTAGGCTCAATCATTAATAAACGACAAGGAATAAATTTTTCGGTTTCACAATTATGTATCAATAATTTTAATTGTTAATTTTAAATTTAATTATTAACTTTATTAACTAATTCATTCTTACTTTTGCCATCAATAAATTAATCGTTTCTTTATACGCCATTTTCACATTATTTTTTTCCAGAAGTCCTACTTTTCTAAAATGTTTAGTAGTCATTGCAGACATTGCGATTGTATCACCGATAGCTTCATGAAAACCTAATTTTCAATAAACAAATTAAAATATTTTATTATTAAACCATATAAGTTATAACGTTAGACCATATAACAAGAAATTGTAACCTGGATTCGCTCCTCGTCTGTAAATTAAAGGTAAATGATTGTATTGGAGATAATATTGAATATGACCCATTTCGTGATGGACGGTTTGATAATTTTTTGCATTGATTTGAGTGCACATCTTTATCCTGAAATTTAAAACTTATATAATATAAATAATATTTAGGCAAATAAGGGTTTAAAAATTGTTTGTCAATATTAAATTGATGAATAACAAATTACAGTTGAATTTATTAATAGTAAATTTATTGTATTGTAAGCATGTTTTAGACTAGAAAAATTCCAGTATATGTAAAATTTATGCAGCAAAAAAATTAAAAATGTTTTGCTTTATACTTATTGTTAGTCAATGACTACAGTAATCAACTTTCTGTGGGGTAAGTTATAGTAATCGCAAAAAAAAATTATATACCTTTACGTTTCAGAAGTTGCTGAACATTTTAGCATACCTTAGAAAAAATGGATGTATATGTGTGTGTGCGGATACAAATTTTTGTCAACGATTTCACGAATACGGATCAACCGATTTGACTAATTCAAGAACATTAGATTCCTACTGATAAGGAGTCGTGCTGATTATTTTTTGGCAAAAGCAGGTCTATCCGTTTCGGAGATACGGGGCAAAAAGTGTCAAAATGGTATTTTATTTTTGAGGTAACGGAACGTCCAATTCAAATAATTCGAAAAACATTTTACTTGTATTGACAAAATGAACAACTGGTAGAAGGCAGGTTCAGCGTCTGCGGAGATCCAATAAAAAAAGTAAAAAATAATGCCATTTGGCGGGCAAAAATGAACATAAGACATATGTACAATGATTATAATAATAAGTACAAATTTTTTGTACATTTATATGGGTTTGGTACGGAACCAATGTTTCAAGGTCGCGTCTATGCGGCGCTTACGCGCTTTGACATTTCGAAATCAAATCAGCAATGCAGCGCGATTGCTTAAAAAATGTTCAAAATTTCCAAAAAGTAATCAAAATACAAAAAAAAATCAAAATATAAAAAAATCTAACTTCTCAAAAAAGTCATTTTTATTCAAATATTTCAAAACTTCTAAAAAATCTAATTTTTTCAAAGTTTTGTTAGTAAATTAGGCTTAGGTACGGAAAGTTCCAGCAATTTGTCTTAAGGCACAATGCCATGCACTACTAGTATTATCAACTTTTAAACCAGAGAGAACTGTTTACAAGATATTGAAGAACAACTTATCTCAAAATTAGAGTAGAAAATAAAGCAAAAATATATTACTAGTTCAGTGTATTTAAGAAAACTGAAAATGAATTCGTATTATGTATATTGTACTGAAATTTACGTTCTAATCTATTATTTTTTATTAAATAAATATTTTTGTTTAATTTACCTAACATCCGAGTCTTTTGCTAAATCCATGGCACTTGCATGACAAACAACTTTGCGCCCATCATTTGGTTTTTTCAACATAGATTTCTCCCAGAAGGAATCCGGCACACCCGTCAAGTTTATTGACTTAAAGAAGTCATTTGCCAATTCAAACAATTTTCGTGGTGTATAGTTCTAGAATAATATTTGAGTTCATTATCATTAAATTTGATATGATTTGAATATTAATTAGTCAAATATTTATTGATGACAGAGTACCTACTTACTATAGGTGTTGTTAGTATATTTGAGAAACAACGTACAAATTATGTTATTGAAATAAAATGAGATATCTGGAGTAGAAGATGGGTAAAAAGATCCACCACCGTTATCTTAAAACCAAGTAAAGTTAGGAATTGTTCAACAACAATATTTGAAAGTAGAGGGAAAAAGATGTATAATCAGCCATCACGCCGCTATCAGGAGGTAAGCGGCAATGTTTAAAAATCCATAACAAAACTATTTTGTTCATTGTTGGTTATTTTGGTTGTGAGCACTGTTGTTTAGTTTACGAGATCTTAATAAAACTTGTTGGTAAGCGTTATTTACTTGTTTTATAATATAGTTTGTTAATTTTAAGTTAGATTTAACAGTTTAAAAAATAACTTCTATAAAAGCTTTTATTTGGGTGGGGTAAAGAGGACCAACTGAACCATTATCCTGGTAAAGGTGTAAACAATAAAAAATAGTTAATTAAGTTAACAAAAGCAATTCAACAAGAGATAATTTAAATACAGACTTATTTTAACTATGCTTATGATTATTTCTGACAAAATACTGGATCAATGCTGAATACAATGTCGTCCCTGTAAAAAATGTACCCTGTAAATAATGTAGCTATTATTTCGTTCAACCCCTTTAGAATTAAAGATAGGACATTGTATCTGTTTTCCCAATGGCTGTCCTTTTTATCCAGCCTATGGAATAAACAGGACTAGGTGGTAAAATTTTGAATACCAACAAAAAAAATATTTTCACAATGATGAATTTGCTGGGAGTTTTACTGAACATAGTCAGATTGTTGTTTATTTGATATGTGCAATTTGTTGTAATATAATTGGTTTGGTTTTCACTATATGATTGCTCAAAATCAAATAGGACCTTTGTGGCAAAATTTTGAATAACAGCAAAAAAACATTTCCACATGAATTTACTGGGAGTTTTACTGAACATAGTCAGATAGTTGTTTGTTTGATACGTGCAATTTGTTGTGATATAAATGGTTTGGTTTTCAGAATATTTTTGCTCAAAGTCAAATTGGACTTGTGTGAAAAAATTTTGAATAAGAGCAAAGAAAAAACATTTTTACAATAATGTATTTGCTGGGAGTTTTACTGAACATTGTCAGACTGTTGATTGTTTGATAGATATGTGCAATTTGTTTTGATATAATTGGTTTGGTTTTAACAATATAATTGCTCAAACACAAATTGGACCTTTGTGCCCCGCACTACTCAAATATTAAAACTAGCAAATTGTACATATTTTTAACAATCGTCAATAATTTAATTATTATCAGTATTTTTATCCGTATTAATGTATATTGTTTAGTGAAGCATGAAATCCATATCAGTTTTATTGTTTCTAATTTTCCCAAGTATTAGTATTTGTTTTGACAGAAAATCCGATTTTACAATTTTATGTATGGTATGTCAAATCATTCTGAATCATTTGAGACAATATTTAGAAAAAGTTATGCAATTTTACACCTTCCACCGCCGATTGCTCAAAAACGGCTACACTGATTTCCAAAATTTAAATACCATTCGATGTAATTTGATAAGGTATAGTTAGTAGAATATTTGTCCAAATTTTTTTTGGAATTTTACTTGTGCTAATAATTTCGGTGTTATATCTGCCCCATTTGCGTCCGGATACGGTTTAACAATATCTTCAATTTGAGACCATTTTTGCGCCCAATTGTTGCCTAGCAAATGAGCCGGAATTGGGCCTCGTTCTGATACCACTTCTACAGAATAATGTCTTCTTAACTTATATCGAACATAAGCGTGAAGTTGGTTGTATAAAGGTTTCAATTCCCTTAATATACTGGAAAGCTCATCTTCGAAATCCTTAGTGTCGTATTCTGATAGCCACATTTCGGCAACGTCGGTGTAATCTAAATGTATGAAACAATAATAATATATATTATTATATATATTAAGTTTTTGGTTGTGAAAAAAAGAGACTGAATCGGATCCATGCTATAAAAGTGCATGCTGCACGAATCCTCAACTAAAGTCACTAAAATTACTTTGTTGGAGAAGAATACTAGTTATCGAGAGTAAAATTTATAGGAAACTGAAAGTAGAGACAAAAATTTATAATGTGAAATGTATGTAAGTGAAACTATAAACAATTGTGGGATAAAGGGTTTGAAAATAATAAGTGTATTTCGTCGTTTACCTTTATATTGGCATTTTTATTGAGAGCGTAGCCTTTCATAATAATAGAGATCGTCTTCAAGAGATCTGTGTATATAATTAACTTCTAGTACATATTTTGAGCAAAGTATTCTTCTAGTACATTTTTGGAGCAAATTGTTTAGTTTCGGTAAAGAATAATGCTTCTATTCAGATTGGAGAAAAAATGGAGAAAAAGAGACAGAAGTGTAAAAGTATAAACAACTGCAGAAAAAGGTGTGAAAATAATATAGTCGACGCAAAAATAGTCTTTTTAAATTTGTATAATATTTGTAAAGATAACACAGCCTTACATTACATTAAGAAATGTACATATTCAAATATTTTAGCGGGGCTTGTTTTTAAGGATTTTTTGACCCCTCTCCCCCTTGGTGATACATGGTGATATTCAAAATTACCCCTCCTTCCCCACCAAACATCAGGTGTATTTTTGTTTACGTTTTGAATGTTTGAACTTTTTTAAAAAAATTAATTAAAATATTAATACACGTGATAATTTACTATACTCGTGATACTATTACGTGATACTTCGTAGTATTTGTTAAACCTACCACCCCCCCTTCCCATAAAAAAACCCAAGTGATTAATAGACGCCCTCTTAAAACATTTTTACAAATGTGTGTTTATAATTAATTTTTATTAATTAATTTTAATTGATTTAATGCTAAACATTTTTATAAAAATAGCAGTTTTCGCTCTCCTTTTTTCATTGCAATAATTTAAATAAAAATTATTATTTATTGCCTTTATTAAAATCTTGTTTTCTTCGCAGTTTTTAAACTTCCTGAATTTTTAACAGTGTCCAAAAGCAAATATTGTCAATACAAATGACAATTGTATATTATCATCACTAAAATTGTTTTCGCTATTATTTTTGACCTTAATTTAGGCTTCAAGTGACTTGTCAAGTGAGTAAATTGAGTAGTTCCGTATTTCCTACACAATTTACATATTCAAATATCCCTGTAATTGTCAATATGTTCTTGAAAATAAAATCTACGTTTTTTAATATATTACACATAAATATTATTTAGCAATATAATTTCGTTATTATTTTTAGATATTCATAAACTTTGCATATATAACTACGCGACTTATCTATTGCAAGTAAAACTTTCGTTAATCTAAGGTCATGAATATGCAAAAGCAGAGCATTTTCTTTGTTTTATTATAAATAATTTCTTCGTTCTTTGAATATTCACTCACTATTAAGTCGAGCTGCTTCGTTTTTCAATTCAACATACTCTGAATATAATTTTCGAATTGGAGCTCCGGCCACGTTTCTCCATTGTTCCCAAACGTACTGTAATTCTTTTGCATTTCTACTTTTTGCAAAGATTTCGTTCACATCTGGAACAAGATTGAACTAGATATAATTCATAATCTTTTATTTTTTAATCAGGCATACTTGGTGTTTTATCGAGTTTGACAATTTAATTGCCATAATATTATTCGTGAAATATATAGAATTTTGTACAATAAGGAAAATTTTGCAAGCGAAAGTTTTTGGATAAACTGAAATATCATTATGTTAATGTTTCATACACTCTACAACTTATTGATTTTTTTTTTTCTTTTTTTGAAAATGATTTTTAGAGTTTGAGTTCTGAATATTTCGAAAAATTTAGAACACTTCAAAAGTTTTGAAATATTAATGATGAATGTGGCATGTTCTGTAAATAATTCAACAAACTAAATATTTTATACTAGATTCTAGTTGGATAAAAAATAATTCCTGATTTATAATATCATTACCAAAATTTCTCTAAACAATTTACGTAGGCAAAATTTTGTTAGAATATTGTTGTTTTTTAAGTAATCTTCAAAATGGAATAAATTACAAAAAATTACGATTCTAGTAGATTTATTCTCTTAATTATTGAATAAAAATTGTTGTTTTTATTCAATAATCTTTAAAAATGGTATTAATTAATTTACAATAATGGTATTATTGTTAATTAACAATTTACAATATTGTAGCCATTTGTAATTAAAATTTATTAATTTCAAATTATGTATATTTATACGTCTGATTATTGGATGTAAATTATTTTTATCTGAAAGATACCAAAATTTTCAAATTAATGGTTATAACTCTCGTATAACATTGAAATGATTGATCAGACAAGAAATTTAATTTTAATTTTTTTATGGCATTCCTAATTTTTTTTAATTACACAATACAATAAATATAAATGAAATAAAAAAATAACATAAATATAAATGAAATAGAGTACAAAATAAAGGATAGTATTTACATCGAAATGATATCCGTATTATGATGATTATGAAAGAAAAGAATGATAATAAAAAAACTAATTGTTAACTAAAGTAAAATACTAGGCAATTGCATAAATGTTTAACAAAAAAGTGTATAGTTCTTTCTATTTTAGTAACATTTTGATAATTTTTAATTGATTAATCATTTGCAAAATCAAATCTAATTACTTGTTTAAAAAAATATCAAATATCTATGAATTAAAAATAAAATTATCAGTCTTTTAAAATAGTTTTACCTGAATCCAATTCCAAATCGCACTTTTTTCTATTCTTATAATCGCATATCTTTGCAGTTGCATAATTTGTTTTCATTTCATTTTGAATATCTTGCAGTCGACGATATTTATGTTCATTTAAAATACTATCTCCTAATTTAAGATGAAGCTTGAACTGTCTTTTAAGATCTTCATCTTTAAATTGCCTCCAATTGAATTTTGAAGCTTCTGCAAGTTGGAGCTTTCTATATAAAGCATATTCTGCATTTACTTTTTTCTAGAATAAAAAGTTGTAGTACTAGATGTTATTAGAAGTAAAATTCGTTTGCAATTTGTGATTGGCAAAGAGTTTATTTTAGCAATTTAAATAGATGTTATGTTATATTATATTATATTTACAACATAAACAGATAAAAATATTTTTTACAAACCTTTTTCTCTGCATTTTCTTTCGTTATATTAGTGTTATAATCCCAATTGGCTAGTCCTATACGATTATACCAATCTATATTGGGCTGTTCTATTAACTCTAAAAAATTGGCAGCTTTTTCTTCTTCCTGATCGAAATCAGTTTTGGCGCCAAGTGTCAAGGTCGACAAAGATATTGCCAATATTAAAACTTTTAATGTCAATTCAATCATTATGAACTATATTTACTTCTTTTGTAGTCATTTAATCACTTTGCTCATATTTAACTATATAATCTAATACAAGATATATAAATTATTACAGCTCATATTATTAAATATAGATATTATTAGTACAATATGTTATTGATTATAGTATTTTGCTATGAAAGTATATAATATTGCTTCGTAGATACTAATAATAGGTTCCTTTTATCTATTTTAATTTACATGATAGGAAATACATAAACAAAGCAATTTGCAATTTCTGCCATTAGATATAGTCGATCAAAATCGTACTCATTTTAAAGAATATAAAATATAGAATATAAAGAATATAGAAGTTTATTTACATATATATATATATATATATATATATATATATATATATATATATTATCATTAAATGACAAATATAAATAATTTTTCAAGAATTTCACTAATCCAATCACAATCACTGCATTGCTACAATTGCTTTACTAATATTTAATTTTTTATTAAAACAAAAACTTTTTTGAAGTATTTTCATAAATTCAAATATATTTCAATTTATTTTTATGGAAATTGTGGAAAACGTACGTATAGTTGAACTGCACAAAATATACTGCAAAAGAACAAGACACTTGATAAAAACCTTTCGCATTCATTTTACTTTAGCGCGCGCATATAATTCATAACATTACTACAAATCGGTGTAAACGGAATAGTTTTACCTTATAAAATGTGTATTTCAAATCATTAAAAGATATTTCATAATTTTTCTACGATTTTTTCACTATATTTTCACATTTCGATATGGATGAAACCTCTTAAATTCGAATTTCTTTATTTTTTTATTTTTTGTTTTAATGAAGAATTCTGCATATTTCTGGATATCCATGGTAAGTTTTCTTATAATTAATTAAATAAAAAATGTTTACACGAAGAAATTAGTATATATTAATACCTTTATAATTATGTTTTCATACTTGATATGTGCCATAATTCATGCAATATTATACAATAATTGTTGAACATGTTTCATTATTTGAAAAAAAGATATACATATCATACTATAGAACAAATCAGAAAGGACAGAATACATTTTATATTTTATCATTCATTAAAACACCAAAATGAAACAAAAAGGACAGTAGGTATACTTTTTATAATATTTTAATCATTTACTAAAATATCAAAACAAAATGCAAAATAAAAAATTATATATAAATCCAGAAATGTTTGATAAAACATTAGTCGGTTTATGAAGGTTCAAAGTGTAGTTCAGATTTCTTTTAGAATAGCAATCAGAAACTATGAATTTTTTTCAATTCTTGTGATGATACTTTGTAACTACGATCTTCACCTTTTCAAATCGCAACTCAATGGTTTTATTGCTTGAACTAGACCTTTAATACTGCTGATTGACCCAGCAATGTAGGGCCACTTTTACTGCGAAACATATTTTCAACTATTAAGTAACTGCTTGATTTCTAGGTGGCCGGAGTTGGTTCGAACTTGAAAGCTTGGTTGTAAAGCCACGGCTCTTAGGACAGAGCCACGAAGAACCTCTGGATATGATATGATAATCATAATTCTTTGGCTACCATGTAAGTACTAATTACAAATTGATACGTTTGTTAACGCCAGAATTTTAAAAAACAAAATAAGTATTCAACAAATCCACTGTGCTCATATTTTTATATAAAATTATTTCATGACTAGTATTGAAGATGTTATTGAGATCACATACTTCAAGAACATAGTATTGAATTAGAACTCGCGACTCAATTATTGTCAAAAAATATTCTGTTGTGCATTTTGTTTTTTACTGATCGTTGGAGTATTAGATTATTTTTTGGCAGTAATAATAATAGCTTTTAATATTAAGCTGGATACCTGGATTAACTTTTTGAATGAAAAAATATAAATTCATCCTAGAAGTTGTTTCCACTCTTACATATGAGTATTGTTGAAAATTATTCACTAACGCCATCAGTAAGTACACGTCCAAAGTTCGTGCATTTCTTATACGAACCTTTCTAACCAATGAACGGTGGCGCTCTTATATGAGAGTGCGCATAGTTTTGGGTCGTCTGAATCAAGCTTATGACGAATATATTCGTCAATCACATATTTGTTTATCTTGAAAATTTCAAAATTTTTATCATTTTATTTTACTTATTTGTTAACATAAAAGCTTATATTACATATGTATAAAACTAAATAGTAGTAACTAAAGTTATGGCAAGGCTATGTTACGTAGCATTTTTCATATAAAATGGTACTAAAATTTTTCAAAATGCTATGTGGTTGCTTTGCTTTAGGCGTTTTGAATATAAAATAATCTAACCTAGAAAACGCACACACGTAAAAAGAATCATATAAAAAGTGCATCTTCCTGGTGTGTCATAATAATACGTGCGAAATGTAAGCACTTATGTGCAAAACGCCTGATCACTCAGCAAATACATAGAATTTTGACAGTTTTCATTACCATTTTACATGAAAAACGCAGCTTAATATAGACTTGTCATAACATTGGTCTATTTTAGGAACGGTTAATATCTTATTTAAGTGTGTATTAAATTTACTATTCCCATCTTCTTGCACATTTCTCAAGCTCGAACAAAAAGTCGGATTGCTGAAAGCTGAACATTGTTCAGGTAGACAACCGTACTTTATAAAAAACGGATGTATTTGTATGTGTGCGGATACAAATTGTTGTCGACGATTTCAGGAATACGGATCAATCGATTTGAATAATTCAAAAACCATTCGCCTTAAGGCAAATTGCTAGAACTTCCCGTACCGAAAGGAAATGTTCGAGGATTATTAAATGTTTTCAAATAGATTATTAAAAATACTGTAACTAATAGTTTAATATTTATAAGAATTATATGAACTGAACTGCAAAGTCAAAATCATTTAATTAAAGTTCATCAGTGAGCCAGAATTAAAATTAAAATCTGAATTATTTTCGATATACAAAAAATATTTTTCGGGAAAAAAATAATTAAATTTTGAAATAAAAAAAATCCAAAAGCAATTGTGTCGTCAACACAAGCTTTTTGAATTATTCAAGTCGAATGCTTAGTTTTCTCAAAAATTGCCATTTTGTGCACGTTTAGCTCTTTATCTTCGAAATGGCTCGACCTGCATTCGCCAAAGCAAATCACTACTTCTCACAACCATTACAAATTCAATGTTTTTGGATCATATCTCCATAACGGCTAGAAATGCCCTTGCTAAACACTAGTCAGCACATGTTCCTATCAATAAAAAACGAATATTTTTTAAATCATTCAAATCGGTTGATCCGTGCGCCCGAAAACGTGCACCAAAAAATGCGGACATGCAAAACACACACACACATCCATTTTTTCTGAGGTATGCCAAAATGTTCAGAAACCTTCATAACGTCGAGAAATGCAAAAATTTTCGTTTTCGATTTTTGGCCCATTACTATAACTACCCTACGGGAAGTTAAAAATCAAACGTTTTAAAAATTTTGTTGGAAAAGATTCAAAATTTTCATAAAATTTTAAAGCTTCTAAAAATAACGCTCCAGGAAGTTTAAACAATTTTCCATATACCACTAGTAAAATAAATAAGATTGAAATTGAGTTGTTTATCTTTTCGCCTGAAGCAATACAAGTCCACAACTTGGCACAACTTTTGTTGACAATACATATTCGGCTTTATTGGTCAGACATTAGATCCACGTGCAAAAAAACTTATTGCAGAAAAAAAGTAAAGATAAAAATGTAACAAAAGCAAAAAAATACATACTTATTAACTTCCCGTGGGGTAAGTTATAGTAATCGCAAAAAATTTGAAAATGAAAATTTTTGCATCTCTTCACGTTTTGAAGGTTTCTGAACATTTTGTCATATCTTATAATTAGAAAAAATTGATGTATGTGTGTGTGTACATGGATACAATTTTTCGTCCACAATTTTGGGCGCAAAAATCAACCAATTAGAGTGATTAAACATTGAACATTCGATTACTATTGATGAGAAGACGTGCTGATTAGTTTTTGGTGGGGACAGGTCCATCAATTTCAAATATACAGGGCAAAAAGAGCCAAAAACGGTATTTCAATTTTTGAAAGAACGGTGTATCCGATTTCAATGATTCAAAAAACATGTTTATTGCATTGACGAAATGAAGCATTGATGAAATTTTTGCTAAGGCAGGTCTAGCGATTTTGGAGATACAGAGGAAAAAGTAAAAAAAACGATATTTGGCGGTCATAAATGATCATTAGATATAGGCACATTAAATTATCAGATATTTGATAAAATTTTCAAAAATGAGTACTACTTTTGTTGGGTTCTGTACTAAGATTGTTAATTTTTAAGGTTTACTTATACGGTTAAAACAAATTTCAAAATTTTCAAAAAAAATGTTTTTTCAAAAATATAGTTTTATACTTCAAATTTCGAATTTTAAATTCACAAACCAGTTTGAAAATGTAAATATTTCA